AGATCATGCTGAATGCCGAAGAGAAGAAAGAAGAACACAAATGCACGAGTCATTTAAACAAATTCTTCGGTTGTTTTAGTGATTTTACTTCAATACTGTTCCTATAGCCATGGAGCAAACTCTTGACATCAGTGTACTCAATGCCAATCCTTGCCAAATAATTGGCCTCAGACTTTCTAAATTTGGTGGGCTGGTTTCCTTCATTGGATTCCTTGGCGAACCCCCAACATGAATTTTGCCTCTTTCGAATTCGACATGGGAAAGAAAAATATACTACAGATTGATTTCTTATACAGAATTTTTCGTTTATTTTACCAGACTCTTGCAGCTCTTAAGGAATGCCTTTGTTTATGTTGTCGGACATTGGAAGATCTATCAGAAGTGTGGATCGTGAAAGATTACATTGATGAAAATTCTTGGACGGAACAATTTGTACTCGGCAAGTTTTAAATTCTCGAGCACAGAAAATATATTTAGCAAAGAAAACACAACGTTGAAACTATTTACCAAGACTCTAGTTTCTGAACTACAGCATTGAAGGATAAAACCGTACAGACATTTTCACTCCTGGAGCCTCTGTATCCTTATCAAAGAATTCAGAGGCTTCAGACGAACTTGAGAAAGGAAGACTTCTATCCTTATCTCTGGTTGTTATTATGGGTAGGAAGACCTCCATTTATTACTACCTTGCAAGGCATGAACATGATTCATGCTCCAACACTGTAAAAAACTTGCATTTGTTTCAGGTCAATAGGGGCTTTAATGTACCCCACATGAGTTGAATTTGCAACTCTAGTCAGGGTCTTCAACTCATAAGCAATCCAGCACCTTGATGTATCTAGGTGATAGAAATACCCCAAGCACTTGCAGTCACTGGTGCACTTCTTTGCACAGTCATCCTCCTTGATTGGTCCATCTCCTCTTGTATATGTGCTTAGGAAATGGTGGACTCCTTCCAACTTATAGTACTTGAAATCTTTAGCACTGCAAGACTTTAGCTTGGGGGAATCACAACCCTTACTCCAACCCAACAGCCCACTAGCCAATGGACAGGCAACACATTGGCTATCCTCACACAGCCCAAAATTACCACATCTTGATGGCAGTTGGCATTCTCCACCATCAGCTCTAGTGAACAAAGTGTAGGTCTCCTCCCATGCTCCATAGTCCACGTTGGGATAGAACGTGTAGGCCTTCAGACTCCCATCAATTCCCAATCTAAGGTATGTCAAAGTGCTGTTGTATTTGGGCCTTGACAAGATCCGGTTTCCACCACTTGAAGAATTCACTATCTGATACTCGAATGTTATCTCATAAGCAAAAGCTTCATCTGTCTCCGGATTGCTTGTGAACTTCACGGACTCTAAATTTCCCTTGACAGAGAGCAAAGTGTTTAGATCATAATAGAGCATGGGTCTTGGAGAATTCTCACTTTGGTAGTACAAAGCAAACTTTTTAGGGTCCAACACCAAGCTATATGGCCCATTAATATTCTCTTTTTCAGAAGCCCGGCTTACGAGCGTAGTCGGGCCTCCTAGCTTTAGCGCCTGGCCCACTAAGAGGGTGTCGGTCGGCGTATCAAAGCTTTGCCAGATAAAATTACCCTTAAAGTCATGGAGGACCATGTTTCCGTCAGGCAACAGCTTGAAACCTACCACCCCTTTGTTGGCTGTTCCGCTCTGCCATGCAACACGGCCATCGGAATCCGCCAACACAAGGTTGCCGTCCTTCCCGAATATGAGGGTGGCATTCTCTCGGACGGGGTTGCCCCGATTCGCCTCCCAAACCCAGCGCATGAGCGACTCTGATCGGACCGTGCCCATACGCAAGGCTAGAGTGTATGCATTGGGAGTGGTGTTATAGAAGCAAAGTTGAAAAGGGGAGTTAAACACATCAAGAACACGATAATCAGCATCATATTCAACAACGTACTCCCCAAATTCACCTTCATTGACATATTGGAAAGTTTCATTGTCAGGAACAGAAGCCTGAGCAATGAAAGAAAAGGTCGGGATGAAGAAAAGAAGAAATGCTAGTCTGGTGAATGAACAGTGAAATGATGCCATGTTTTTGTTCTGTAGAATGCAGTGCTGATCCAGAGGCCAATGAAGATTGATACTTATAGGGGAGCAAAAACTAATTATTTAAACGTCAATTATGGATTTTGCATTGTTAAATGCAAGTTGGAAACCATTACATGCCCCACGTGGGTCGACGTAGAAATCTAGTCAATGGAGGCTGCTATTTGTTTTCCCCAGAAGTATATATAGTATATGTTTTCCTTGCACCCACATTAAGAAAAGAAAGGAAAAGAAAAGAAAAGCAGATGCTTATTGTCTTTTGAATTTAGCAAATTTTAGACAAGAAAGAAAATCTTTTGGTTTATACTTTTGTACTCCTGGGAACATGCATATATTTATACTTCTGGGAATATGCATATTTTGGTTTATCTTTCGGCTTACTTTTCCTTGAATGTGCAAAGTTGGTGTACTCTCTTTCTATTAATGAAATTGTTTTGCTGCCTGAATTTCACAAGAAAAAGAAGGCGATAAAAAAATTGCTGTCAGCCCTTCTTTTGCCCCTCAAAGCGATAAGGTCTTTGCTGGAAAGTGGGAAATTGGAAATGATTGATGCATGGTTGGCACAGTTTTGTACAGAGTGGGAAGTGGGAGCACATATATTGTAAAAATGAGAATATTCTTGCGGACAAAAGTGATTGAAAAGACAACCAAAGCTTATCGCTTAACAACAGACATAAAATGAGATCAGTGGTCCAAATTTATTTGCTTACACCATCATTATAATTTTTAATATATTTTTTTATTTTTTTAATTATTTTTTTATCTCACATACATCACATCACAAAAAATACTGCAGTAAAAATATCTCAAATAATTTACAATCCAAACACACGGATAAATTAGAAGCAAATCAAAGCTCATGCAGGACCTACCCACCAATTGTATTTATTTATCCAAAGCAATGCAAATACATTACAATTATTTTTACCTTCAAAATAGTTCATGCATTTGTATTTTGATAAGTCTTGGACGAGAAACAAATGGCCTAGAACAGAAAGCTAAGCAAAGACATTAATAAATTTGTATTATGTACTTGTCCAAACAAACCCAATTAATAAATGTCCAGGGTACACCTGTATCCTACCACCCACCGCACCGCCCTGCCATGAGGCCCAGCACCCGGTGGCCAGCCATGCTGAATACCAGAATAACTAACTCTAGCGGCCGCGGCTTCTAGGAAGTGTTTGATTCCGCTTGCCGGTCAAAATTATCCACAGCCACAGCAACAGGTTGAGTTGATAAGTTGCCATTTTTCTTCTATTTTTTGACCAAAGGACTTTGTATTTTTCCGGATACAGAAACAAACACATACACTTAATTAGACTAAGCGCGAGAGTTTACGGATAAACTGGCTCGATAAACAAGCAATCTAAGGGGGACCCACAGAGCAACCTGATCCAGCCAATTGGTGATAAGATGGACACCCCATGGACCTTAAACCCAGAATGAAGACCTCACGATCTTTCGATGTGGGATGGAAGCCCAACCCCCCCATGCACACCCTCACCAAATATGGATTTGTTTTTTTCCGGATACAGAAACAAACACACACACACTTAATTAGACTAAGCACGAGAGTTTAACGGATAAATCGGCCCGATAAACAAGCAATTTAACGGGAACCCACAGAGCAACCCGATCCAGCCAGTTAGTGACAGGATGGGCACCCCATGGACCTTAAACCCAAGATGAAGACCCCACGATCTTCCGATGTGGGATGGAAGCCCAAACCCCCCGGTGCACACCCTCACCAAATATGGATTTGTTTTTTTTTTGGATACAGAAACACACACACACACACACACACACTTAATTAAACTAAGCACGAGAGTTAACGGATAAATCGGTCCGATAAACAAGCAATTTAAGGGGGACCCACAGAACAACCTGATCCAGCCAATTAGTAACAGGACGGGCATCCTATGGATTTTAAACCCAAGATAAAGACCCCACGATCTTCCGATAAAGGCCCCATGAACCAAAGGACTTTGTTTTTCGTCCCTCGGGTAGAAACCCACACACACACTTACACTCAATGATGCAGGAAGCATCGAGAAACCGGCCCAACAAGAGCAATCTAAGGGGGACTTTGTTAGATTACCTTTTTTTTTGGTATCCAACGTTCAAATCTCTCAGCGGATGCGGACTTCAAGGCGGGCTCTTTTCATCGTTCCTCTTGGCAGGATTCATGTTGCCTTGTCATATTTCTTGATCTTACATCACCTTTGAGAACAAATAAGGCTGGCTAGCATGTGCCTTGAATGCATTTCTGCTTCTTCAATGGGGATTGGTTTTATCATAGCCCAAAATGGGGATGGGCACTGGTCGGATATTGTTTCATGCACTATTTGGTTAATTTGATACACACTCTGTGAGTCAGCTATTTTTTTTTTAATTTTTAAAAAAATACTTTATACTAATTTAATTTTGTATTTTATATTCTCTCATATTTTTTTAAATGAATTTTTTATTTTTAACTTTTAAAATATTAATTTTTTGTCAATTACAAATTCAAATCAGTCAAATTTAGTTTCAACTTAGGTTTCGAACCATTTTTTTAATCTGAAATCACCACGTGACTTGTACATGATTTTTTTTATAGGTATAAAAATGTCATATCCCACCTCTATTTTGTAGAGGTGTAAAAAAAAAAAAGTAACCCTATATGGGTAGGTAGTTTATAAGAACAAGAAAACATGAGTTGCTGATTTGCGTGAATAAAAGGTTAGAGAAAATTGGATGGAAACAGATTTCAGTTTTATTACAACTCTGATACACTATTGGTTTCACAATCCCACACAATCCCCAACAAAACCCACCTACAGAAACAACCCTTTTTTTCTTTTTTTTTTTTGAAGAGCAGAAACAACCCTAAAAAAGCATAAGAAAAAGAAATTTTACAACCAAGTGGACAGTCGGTCAACTATACTTTAGCAAGGCTAGAAGAAATTCTGCCATCAATACATTACTATTTCTTTGACTTCCAGAATCCTTGAACTCCCTTTTAACGAGATTTCCCAGAGACCATCCAGTTTTAGCAGCAAAAACATTGTTTATTTCTTTGATATCATCATCCAATCTCGTGACTACTATTCTAGCCATGACCTCTTTAGTATCACCCCTCTGCATTGCTCCTCTTATTTGCCTGGAGAAAAACTTTGCAGGAGATTGAATTCCCCTGACCACAAACCTGAGGTCTTTGCCAAAATTTCCACACTTATTGGACTTGAGAAATTTGGAAAATTCATGGCCGTAGAGTTCTTTGTAAGAGAGTAATATGGCTTTGATTTGTTCTGTATTTCTACTGCTGAAAGTGGACATGATGGTCTTCCAGTCAACCGAACTTCCACTCTCCACAGCTTCGTAAAGTGTCTTGGCATCACACATGGCCATGCTGATATCAACTCTGCTTGCACTTTTGTTGCTTGATTTTAGTACTGCCAGAAGAATCTGAAATACTCCCAAAAAAAAAAAAATTGAAAGCGGGTAGTTAGTATTCATGAATTTTTATTCTGCAGGCAAGCATTGAAGTTTAAAATTATATGACTAATTGCCAAAAATGCTACTAACTCTATTTCCACCATATTGGAGCAATTAGAGGTGTGGAGCAATTAGAGGAGTATAACACTAATTTACATTATGACCTAAAATTGACAAGTGAACATTTAGCCAGTGGTAATAGGTTTGACACATATCTAAATTGGTTTCTTTAGATTGGATTTGGTAATAATTATGTGAGCAGTCAATTTTGACTTTAACCTTCGAGCACGTGAACTTTTTCGGGCAAAATTAAGGCAAAAAATGTACTACTCCTATCACAATATTGGAATTTTTTTTTTTTTTGGCATCTAGCTTTTTATGAAAACATTATAATCATCATATCTGGATAAGGTGACTCTGATGAGTTTATGTATCTTTTGAATTCAAAAATTTTTTCGTTAAATATGTATTCAGATTTTAAAAAGCTTTTTTTTTTAAATCGTAAAATTAGAAAGTATATGTTAAATTTGAAATGATGACTCCTATTTTGGAACATCAATAAAATGAAAACATAACATTTATAATGAGATAGAGGGAATATTTAGAGATAAAAAAAGGTCCGTTCTGAATTTGTGAAGGATTAAGATACATTATTATTTTGCACGCGAGGGGTCAGAATTTGACATTAGTAAAATGTGAGGGACGATTGGTGTTGTTGTCCCTTAGTAATAATTGGTTTGAGATATAGAAATTGCAAAATTTTCACTTCACATGGGAGCGATGAGCAGATTTTACACAAATGGGTTTTTTTTTTTTTTACCGTGTTTTATTCTTTTTTTAACATTCCATGACAAATTCCTTAATTTAATTTTTTTTAAAAAAATTTGGCCGGATAATTGCTGTGCATAATTCTTGTGTTAGTGTGTACACATTTGTTACGACGTTCATATCTACCAATGTTGTAAATATTTCTATAATTTTGTCGTGCTTTCCAACCTAAATCTAGCACCGCACTTTTAATAACCTAATGCATAATACCTCTTTAAAGTTGCCAGAAATTTTCTGGGAAACATCTTGCTCTATGTTGGAACCATAACGGTTGCAGTAGGCTTGCTTGATTGAAGAAAGTTGGCTAGAAGATCGAGTGCACAGTGACTCAATCACAACATTGAGGTTCACCTTATTCCCTCCAAACAATGAATCCCTCATCAGCTCTGCATCACGCTCTTGTGGCTCGTTTATGCGAAGATAAACCATATTCTGCAATTTATAAATAGACAAAAAAAAAAGATCGAAGAATAAAACATGGCATATACAATATCATTAGCTACCATTAGTAATTTGTACCAGGGAAGATTCTTACAGCAAAAGCATCGTTTCTTCGAACGTTAGATAAAGCATGAAGAATATCTTGGTTATAGACAGCTGAATACGTTTGCCGAATAAGTTCCATTTCTTGCATGGTTCGACTTGTGAGGATCTCCACGAGCTTTCGTTTAAGTGCACAATTGCCTGCAAAGTACGAAACCTTCTTAGTTACATTTTTCTGTTTTTCAATGAAATGAATCCAAGATGAAGCTAGCTATGTCTAGTTACAAATTAATGTCCGAACGATTGTTCCTCTACAATTGTTAGAGCAATCCCACCATAGATTAGTGGTCTAGAGGGAGTTGACTTGTGTCTTTTACTTTAAAATGTATTTAAAAAAAAAGAAGAAAAAAAAAATGCCAAAGAACGAGACAAGACATATATACCAGTGAAAAAAGCATTTAGGCATTCACAGTCCACTTGATACTTCCTACAGCCTTGAACTGAACTTGCCATGATCCAAGAGATTTTTTTGAAGACTAGTAGTATATTTTCCAAATGTGCTGTTCTCCATTTTGGGAGACCACAATTTATAAGGTGAAACAAAGGTGGAGATTGACCCTTTGACGTCCCAATCGATTTGTCACAATCCAAAGAATAATAGTTACTTTAGTAAAGAAGCCAGTAACCCAAAAAAGTGGGAATAATATGATGAAAACTACGAGTAGGTGAAAGAATAAATAATCAAACATATGCTAGAAGCCTCAAAGTTTCAACGGTACTTGGTTTTGTGTATGTTGCTGTTTTTCCACCCACTTTTGCTTTTGATAAATTCCCAGCTGACCTTTTTTGTTTGATGTCAATGGCAAGAATATTTGGCTCTAAGTGCTCAAACACCCACCCATAAAAGGAAAGAATTTAAGGGGGGGGGGGGGGGGAACAATATATTGACGACTCTCCTTGATGTCAATCAGCTTTAAGTTTAAGGAACAATAGCCGATCAATGTGACTGCTGTCAAAGTAGTTGCCATCAGGCATTCGATGCTTAATGCTGTTCTGAATTGCCAAGACATTTCCTCCAACCAATTAAAAAAAAAAAAAAAAAAGAAAGTAAGAAGGAAAGACAAATCTGATATTCATGAAGTGCCAGGAAATTTTGGCTGGCCAAGATAATCTCTGTGGCAATTCGAATTTCACAATCAACATTTTGGCGTGTAGATTGGAAGGGGAAGTGTATTGCTGGTTTCTTGTCCTGGAGAAGATCAGCCATTAGACATGGGGTGACTGACTTTCGAGTTGGCCCTCCAAAGTGTTCAAGTCTCAATTAAGCCTTTGAAACTGGAAATCTCGTTTCAGATAAGCCGTTCCATCAATTCACGCTTGGCCAATAATTTTAACCAAACTTTAGTAGTAAATTAAGCAAACTCTAGCAATAATTCAGGGAATTTGAAGAAATTAACCTTTCGTCTAGAATGAGCTAAAATATAGTCTGATTTGAATTTAAATCCACGAAATATATATATATATACTGGAAGAGATCTGTTCTATCTTTCTTTCTTTTTTTTTTTTTAATTAATTTACATGAGAGATTAATAGTTTCAAGTCCCTAAATAATTGGTAGGATTTGAATTTATCACTGGACCAAACTGTGAATGGATGAAAAGAGCTCATTTGGAATAAAATTTCCAGTTTGGAGAGCTCGATCGGAACTAGTTCATTTTTAAGGGTTGGATCCACACTTTTTGTCTACTTTAGAGCCCCGAATCAAGATTTATCCCAAGAAATATTGTGGAATAAGATACTACTCGAGACAAGTTCGAAACTCCACGTGTGGAAAAAGGACTTGAGAGTCAAATTAGAAACTCCACAGTTACCTAGTTAATGTTGAGTTTTTTGCCAAAATAGCACTCTATCTAAAAAATATTTCTAATGTGATTCATTTTCAAATTTTATTCCCATAATGATGTTATTTTTTTCACCTAATTACCCTGATTGCCATGTAGGATAACAAGAAAGGAAAGCTTTAACCTCGTCTATAGTTTCCAACATGAACTAAAAATTTGAATTTTTTATTATAAAAGCACAAAAGATTGCGTAACTTTGATAATTTCCTTATAATTATTTAAAATAAATTCTACCATTATTGACCTTGCTATTATTGGTCTCTGCACTTTTTCAAAAATGTATCAAATCTATTTCATATATTTTTTCAAAAATATATTTGAAAAATACAAAAATTGCAACGAAAAATTGTAAGTAATAACAAGAAAAAGTTACAAAAATTTCAAAGTTATCAGATTTGTTTATGTTATGCTTCCTACTCCTTGAAAAAGAACTTTTACAAAAAGTAATCATACTGAAATTTTCAAGTCTAACAAATTACTATATAAGCAATCAAGTAGTATAAAAAGGCAAAGGGCATCCTACTACGGGAAAAAGTCATGTTGTATGGGAAAATATGACAAAAATAAGATTTTTTTAATTAAATTTTAAAAATGCAATAAAGTTCTCAACATCCATATCTTATGCAAAGAACTAAAAAACAAGATATTCTGAACTGAAAAAACTATCATGGTATAATTACAATAAATTTGCAATCAATAAATGTGTCTCATAATCATTGCCAATTGCAAGCAAATTTGAAATATTTGAACCCACACTCTTGAAACTTCCTTAAGTGTTAGCAAATAGGAAATGGATACAAGAATGTCATTAGGCAATCCACTAATCCTATGTTCAGGCACTTTAATAATGCTAAATTCGAGCACTTCATTGATCCTATCTTCAAAATGGGTAAGTTCTATTTGATCACTGCAAATCATATACAGGGAATGAGGAAAACAAAGAGCTATCACAAGTTAGAAGTTTTTTTATTGCAACTTGACGTTTTTCATAGCCAGTGATAACATATATCTTGTCCATGAGTTCATGGTATTTTATCTGATAACTTACTCGAATGGCTTTTGGAGTAACACCTTCGTAACTAAGACCATGTATGCTAGTTGTCATCCTACCATTACCAAAAAAAAAAGAAAAAAGTAACATTTCTACCAGCCATTGCTACAAAATTCAGCAGCACCCACCTACACAAAATTAAACAAATCATTAATTAAGCAAATATTGCCATGCCATCTAAGACAAGAACTACCAGTATTTGTCAATAATTAGCAAGGTCATCACTTACATGTTATTTATAATGCCACTAGATACAAGAACTACAGGTAGATTAAATCGAAATTGAGACTAGTAAATTTCATGCAATGCAAAAGAAATCTACTAATGCAATTAAGATAATGCTCAAGTTGCTCAAAAGTAACACAAACCATCAATTGATGTTGAATAAATGTGCAAAAATATATTAAGCATATGAGATTATTTGGTCATGTGATATAGAAGCACTACAAATGAACATGCTCGTATATGTGGTAGAAATCAAACATATTGAGCATGAATCTATGTTGTTATGTAGTTTTCCTCTTGGACATTTTATCAAACACACGGTATGAGAAATCACTTGTTAAATAATTAGTATTCAAAATTTTTTTGAAAGCTATAGGAATATTCCAAAAACTACACAATAGAAAAGATAAAGGAATAATCTTCATTTACCTTAAGATTATCAATTCGGGAAGAATATTTTCATCCACGAATACAATATCAGGAATGATAGTGAAGTTTTAGATTCTATTAATATAAATATTGGCCTTTTAGAATTACTTTTGACAAGAAAAAAAATAACTAAAGGAAATAGTTCAGAGAGAGAATAAAGAAAGATATTAGATAAAAAAGAAAGATAGAGTGTGCCTCTATTTCTATTCTGCCATATATGCAACCTACGTGGCAAAAAAAGAATTATAAAGATAATAATTTTTAAAATTAGATTACTTTAGATATATGTTTTAGAAGAAGAGTTACAATAAACTCAGTTAACGTCCCTATCAGTTAAATCTGGTCTTGCGGACTTCTTGTTGCTAATTTCTTGCATGTTCTGTCTTAATTGAAGAAGGGGAAAAAAGAAATCATCTTGTCGTCAAATGAGCCTAGCCCAATTTTAACTTGGGCTATTGAGCTTGTAGTCCATGGGGTAAAGCTACTACTCAAGTCTTTTCACCCGCTCGGTACACCACCGACGATGTTACCAGTTTTCATGCGCGGGTTAGATACATACAATACATGGGTGATTTGCTTTGTCCCTAACCTTGAGAAATAGCTCCAGCATCAAATTTTGGACCCTAAAATTGCATTTTTTTTAAAAAAAATCTTTTTAAAATAAACTGTTTAAATCAGATCAAATAACGTGGCTCAATCTGAATCGCAAATCTGAATCACGTCTACGATTGCCAGCGCAACCGTTCCTGTTTCTTGCAATCATGAATGGAGTTATCCACATTAATCTTGGAAGAGACAGTAGTGATACTTATGAGGCGGACGTTTGAGCTTAGTTAATTGGTCTGAGTAACCACCAAAACCATGTGTCCCATATATGCATGCAGGCTGAAAATTAACATTGTCGTAGGATACGTTAACACTTGCATCACATTCCTCAATTTCACCAACTGCTCACCTCACTTCCTGAAGTTCTGAAATCAAACTAGGTACAAACTTTCCTTTCAAATCTTGGAGAGCCAATTTGTCTTCTACCCCTTCAATTCGTGGCCGACACTGCAACATTAGGTCAGTATTCACCGCCATAGTTCATCAATATTTATGCATCCAGCTAAAACCCTTTTCTCGATACATGCATCTATTTCAATCACACATGTAATTGTTCATTAACTCAAAAATATTTCAAACAGGGTTGAGTTTCATGAAGAAGAGGATGACCCTCTCAGCCCAGCAAACACAGAAATTGATCAAGAGGAAGATGAAGTTGAAGAGATTAGCTATGATGATCTCAAGAAACGGATGTGGAAGGATCGGCTGAAGATGGAAAAGCTGAAAAAGACGAT